AAAAGAAGGAGAACAATAAAGTACAAATAAAAAAGTGATAGAGTGAATTTGTGCTTAGTGAAAACACAAAATAATGGCGAGAGGATTTAAACCTGGTTTCTCGAAAAATTTTTGAATTGATGCGTAAGTTTAATCCTAAGCCAAGCATGTGACTGATAGAGTTTTTGCAAATCAAATTATAGTAACCATCATTACCGAGCTCTGAAGAATGAACAATTGAATTTAAATTAGTTTCACAGCAAGCAAGCAAGTCTGGTGAAATTTGTAAAAGGTTAGATTCGACAATAGAAAGTTACTTAAAAAACGACAAATATTTGTGAAAGATATATTGAAATAGTTTCGGGATTGTGATGGTTTTTTAAGTTTAACATTTTTAGTTACTTTAGGAATGGTTTAAGTTAAAAGAGAATTCGACTCGTTCATAGATAGAATATGGTATCCAAAGCAATGAGCAATGCAGTTGTCTAATTTTAGAGCTTCTAATTAACTAAAAATTATAAGTTAGGGCTCCACGTGTGACCTTGGTAATGCACACCAAAAGCACTTACAGGGAAACCATCCATGCGCAACATGGCTTTTTATACTCTGATACTTTACATCTGTTAATGGAATTAGCCTTTTTAAGAGCTACCACAAAGTTCATGAAACTTTATTACCATTCGGCCTTAGATCCATTACACTAATTTTTAGATCTATACCCTCATTAGGAGATTACAGGAAGAGTTGCATTTAGAACGCTAATTTTTATTTCAGCAGATAGCTGCACAGCAAGCTATCTGCTGAAATTTTTATTTCAGCATAGCTGCTGCACAGCAAGAAGATTTAAAATCCTATGTAACAGCAATTGATAAAATGTTTTTTGGAATGACAATGAAATAATGTAGAAGATTAATACTGAATTTACTGAGGAATATGGCATTTTGGATTTGTTCAATAAGAATATAAATATGGTAGAAAAAATTGGCTGGCTACTTTTACAAAGAAATATAAATTTAGGGTACGCAAACCAGAGGCAACATTGATTGTCAGAGCAATTGGTTTCAATAAACCAACCGTAGACAAGCTTACCTGCCATCATTTCTGACTTTTTCCTGAAAATGAATGTTTCCTGAAGTTGTAGAAAGAGCCCCACCATTAATTGCAGGCCACTGTAGGGATAACGGCTGGAGCAACGATAAAACTTTTTTAATTATTTTTAAAGCACTTTTAACTAGACGTATAACCAAGCGAAGAATTTCCTGCTCCATTGATTATTAAAAAAAAAATTATTATTATTCATATAAAACTGATTTATTATTGACATTAAACTCACATAACTTTGGAGGATTTATTATATTGCAGTGAAAAAACATTATCATGGTTTAGTTGCCGCCCCACATATTACATTGTCTTCTGCCTCTTGATGCATTATTTTTTGGCCCATTAAAGACCTACTATATCCAAGCATGTCACAACTTTATGGTCACTCATCCGAGATTATTACTTACCACAGATAGAAATACTGTTGATTTTTTAAACACCGCTTACTTGAGCAGCTACAGTAGGAAATGTTGTTAATGAGTTTAAAGAATGTGAGAACAAGCTTTCAAAACTTGTGTTTAGTAATCATGACTTTTAGCAAGCATAACTTTTAGCAAACATGACTTTTAGCAAGAATTAGCATTTGCTAACTCCGATCCACTTAATCATTGAAATTCCGATGCACCAAGTCATTGAAAACCGCAATAAATTTGAGTTTGATTTTACACTTGTTTTGGGATAAAAATTAGGGTTATTTGTATTAGATGTCCTGAATGTAATTTTCCAACGAGCAATTTGCATTAAAAAAACAAATAACATTTGATAAACATTTAAATTGGAAAATTTGGTTTAACAAAATTTTTTTATGTGCAAGATTGGAAATTTTGCATCCGGCTCAAACCGGATTTGCCGAAATTGTAAAAAAAACGAGATTTATTATTATTATTATTGTTATTGCTATTATTGTTATTGTTATTACTATTATTAATATTATTATTGTGTCATTTTTTACCTTCAAAGATTGAAAGTAAAAGCCTGCACCTCAGCCTCGTGGCTATATATAATATATTTATTACCTATAATATATATAGCCTATTCCAATAATTTGAGACTTGTTTCATTTAAATCAATTAAGTTATTTTTATTTGTTTAATATAATTTTATTTATTTAGAGTTTTAGCCTGCATAATATTTATATTTAAAATTATTTTTTTGTTTTCCATTTTAACATTGATTATTCCATTACTGTATTAGACATTCTGTCCTTTTTATTTGTTTAAAATTTAAGTAACATTTAAAATAAGACTATTCTCAGAGGCAGGTAACAATTTTGATGAAAAAAGAGCTAATTTGTTGCCCAAAACTGAATAGCAACTCTTATTGCACAACAATATTCCTAAACTTTTCGAAATTCTTACATAATTGATTATTGCAAATAAAATTACATTGTGTTTGTTAAGAATTTTGAATTTTTTACATGGTTTATCTAGAGTTCTTCATTGCCCTGTATGACAATAATTTTTTGATTTAATTTACACAGTCTGTGTCACATGTCTTAAAAAAAACGTAAAAAATAAATTCCGGCCGGAACCAGAACGACAAAAAAGTCACAAATTCAGAATTCCGGTACATACCTAATCTTATCTATGTTAATTCGAAATTACCTTACATTATTTAACAGATGTTGATAATAGTTCAAACTTTGGTAATATGCATAATTGCATAAAAAAAAATTAAACTCTGTAAAACTAAATGTTCTTGTTGTTTCATTTGTTGCTTTAAGCTTTTATATAGACTTATTATAAATTCAATGACCAATTTATATTTAGCGCGCAAATATATTCTTACTTTGACTTTTAATTAGGTGGACTGTAAACAAAGCTTTACTATGCTAAAAATATTTAAAAATTGATTTGGTTTGTAAACTGACAATTAAAAATTACAGGCGTTTATCTTAGTAAGATATTAGGGCACCTAAAATAAATAAAAATAATAATAATATTATACATTTAAGTTAAAATTGCTTTGACTTTTTTGTGATTTTTAAAAGAATAAATATGGTTTTTATAGAACCAAGATTGCTTCAAAGTTTATTATTAATTCAGGGCAGTTTATTAAACGTACGCCAATGTTTTTAAATCTCCTTGAACTGAACTCAATCCGCCTGTTTCTAGTTGTGCTGAATAGGCAATTGCTTTTAACGAAGAAGTGAAAAAAATCTTACTTATCATTAATTCAAGAAATAAAGTAGCATGCGCCACTTATCTGCCATTATTTGCCACCTATTGGGCATTCATTCTTTTTGACAGTGTTTTTTTGTTAAGTCTTAAATCTAACTCAAATAATTCTTATTGATTTAATAAATTATAAAGAATTTATAAAATCACAAAAAGAATTTATAAAATCACAAAAAAAGAATTTATAAAATCACAAAAAATAGATAAATAATCATTAAAGTGACAATCGGCAATTAAAATCATTAAATGCAACAACAGCAATAAAAATAGGATTTTTTTTTCTTTTAACAAATAAAAAAAAACCCCTAACAAAAAGGCTGCAGAGAATAACTAAATTTGTCTACTGAAAGCGAAAAAGAGAGCTGAAAAACAAGAAAGCGAAAGTTGAAAGAATTTTTTTTAAACTGCAAGTTGCTTGTGTCAAGTTTAAAAAATAATATATATGGCTGCAACCAACCACTATTTAGTGTTGAAAGTTACTGGAAGAGAAAAGATGAAGGCTGTAGAGCAAGATAACGATTAACAGATGACAGATGGCAAATTATATGAATCAGGAAAGTAAGATGAAGGAAGGGAATTCCAAAGAACTGATGTTCGAGGAAAAAAACTAGACGAATAAGAGTTATTGGAGCACTTAGGAACAGAAACAGAAAAAGGATGACACTTAATTGAATGACGAGTAACACGAGAATGAATTTTAGTAGATGGCACAAGAGACGCTTGCTCTTTAGGGCAGTGCCCATTATAGTATTTGTAGAAAAGAGAAAGAAACAACATTACGACGATGTGACAGAGGTTGAAGGTTGGCTGCAAGAGCAAGTCCAACTATGTTTACAATGCATTTTTTCACCTTGTCTAAAAGAGAAAGGGCATTATTAGAAGATTCGCCCCAGATATGGCAACAGTATTCCATACAAGGTCGGATTTGAGATTTATAGAGAATAGAATCCAGAGTAAGAAAGTGTCGAGCTCGATAAAGAGATCAACTTTAGCAGATGCTAATTTTGCAACGGATTTGATATAAGGTTTCCAAGAAAGATCAGAAGTGAGAGTTAATCCTAGAAGATGAAGGGCAGATGACTCATCGAGTACATTATCGTTCATAAATATAGGAAAGTCTAAATTACTGCGATAACGATTGGCTGAAAAAAATTGAGTTTTATCTGAATTAAAGTTCACCAGCCACTGTGAGCCCCATGCTATAGCAGAAGTGAGATCCTTTTCAAGCTCAAATGCCCCCTGCAAGCAATCAGAGGGAGTTGGCTTCTTATCGTGACAAGAATAAATGGTAGTATCATCAGCGAACAAACTTCAATATACATAATTATATAAGATGTAAAAAATTCATAACAAATTTCTTTTGCATTTTATTAATGTTCAAAAATCCTAAAAAGATTATTTTGTAAATAAGAAACATTTATTATTTTATAATATTCCTTGTAAATTTACAAGGAATATTATAAAATAATAAACTGTTTCTTATTTACAACATAATTTTTTTATAACCGTTTTATAACCATTTTTATAACGTTTATAAACAAAGTTTATTTTTCTTATATAGCGCTAGAATAAATTGCAATTAATTTACGCATAAATTATATTAAATTAGCAGTTGGACTTTGATCGCCTTTTGAGTGAAATTTATCTGCTAACCTTAATGACTTTACAATTCTCTTTTAGTAATTCTCAATGTTTGAAGTATATAAATATAATAATATGAATAAGATAAGGTATACAGCTGATGAAGCTCTTACAATAATTTTGGAACCTTGTTCAGATTCTGAAATGTCAGATTTAGAAGATAGAAGTGATAATGATGTTGAAATTTTTAAAAAACAAGACAGTAACAACATTAAAGAAACAATTATATATTCAGATGCTGATATTGAATATGAAAATGCTAATAGTTTTATTGGTGGTATAGAAGATACAAATACAAATGATATGTCAAAATTTGATAATCATGTCTATAGATGGAGATCATCACAACCAAGCCAATTAAACACAGAGTTTCTTGGAAATCAGTTTTCTTTACCACCAACTGATGTAAGCACTTTAACACATTTAAACTATTTTGAAATGTTTTGGAAGCATGAAATTAACAAACATATATCGAATGAAACTAATTTGTATAGTGTACAAAAAATATCAAGAAGCATTAACACCACTGTAGGTACGTGGAAATATCCGTTTTACGGAACCGAATTTTGTGCTAAAAAACTGTGCCATGCTTTTTAAATTGTTTTTTTAACTAGCGTTGGGAAGACGTGTTTAGTTAGAAAACTTTTTAGAATTTGATATCAACATAGATTATTTTTAGAAACTAGAATAGTTAAACTTTATTACTGTGAGCTTTATTATTTTACTAGATGGCTTTGTTTATTGAATTTTATGATGTCTAAAACTTTGTTGTACTTTGGGCATGAAATTAATGTCGAAGATATGCTCATTTTTTTTTTATACTATTCTTTTTTTTTAATTTTTTCATTTATCTATGCACCTGGAAAATTTCATTGAAAAAAAAGTTGTAGCAGGGTGTCTATTTTTTGTCGCACTTTTGGTACCTTATTTTCATTTTGCTGAAGTGGTCGCGGGAGACAGAGGGGTTAAATAAACATTTTTTATATTTGATTTAGATTAAATAAAATGGAAACTTAAGATATTGATAAAGGTTTACTATATTGTTTCCTATTTATGAAAATTATTTGCCTTCATTAAAAAGTTATTAAAATTTAATAACTTTTTATTGAAGGCAAATAATTTAATTTAAATGAATTTTAATGTTTCCTTACTTTAAAGTTGAATTTTTTAAAAATGTAACTGACATATTAGTAATATTATAAAATATTTTATCTTACATTGTAAGTCTCTCCAATAACAATTGCAATATGCTACTACTTGTTGTATCATGCATCTTTTTCTAAAAAAGTCTAGGTAAAAACTAGACTTTTTTTTTTAATGATTAACTGTTAATCTTTCAACTGTAATAAGTAATACAAATAAAATATGGAGCTATCTAAACTATATTATGATGAAATTATAGATTCATACAAAAACTTGTCTAATGACCAACTTTATGATTTAGAAGATGTTATGTCTGTAAGAATTGTAGGCAAAAAACTATTCCATGAATGGTACGGTCCAAATACATCCAAGCCTGTTTTGTATAATGGCAGAGTAGAAAAAGTTAGTAACAGAAAAAAGGACTTAGTTTACACAATTTCTTACTGGAAAGAGGATGAAACAGATATGGAAGCTGTCGACCATTGCACGAAAAAGATCTAGCTTGTTGCAGATATTGTTTCAGGAGAGCTACAATTTTTTTAATTTCATATTATTAAAATACTGAAAGTATAAATTTAAAATTTATAAGCTTAACAAAAGTACTTCAACTGTTGTGACTTGCTAAACAAAAGTAATGCAAGTGTTGTGACTTGTTAAGAAAAAGTACTGCATGTGTTGTGACTTGCTAAACAAAAGTACTGCAAGTGTTGTGACTTTGCTCAGAAAAAGTACTGCAAGTGTTGTGACTTTGCTAAGAAAAAGTACTGCATATGCTGTGACATGCTAAAAAAAACACTGCATGTGTTGTGATTGACTAAGAAAAAGTACTGCTTGTGCTGTGACATGCTAAAAAAAGTACTGCAAGTGTTGCGATTTGCTAAGAAAAATTACTGCAAGTGTTGTGACTTGCTTTTTGATAGACGGCTCTGGCTTACCTTCACGTGGTGTCTATTGTTAAAAATGATTATAAAATAATTTCATTAGTGGAATTTGAAATTGTAATCATTCACTAAAAGCTAAGACAAAACTTTATTAAATAAAGCATCATTAAAATAATCAAATATTATTTAGTGTTAATAACATTTTATTTGTTTTTTAGTTTGAAACAGCCGAACCTTTCATTAACCAAGCTACTATCAAGCACTATATGAAAGATTGGAAGATTTATAAAGGTTGGTAAATACCTTGTTTTGATTACCTTTTTGCCACTATTTACTGATAATAGAAATCCCTCAGTAATAGAAGAATATTTTAACAACTAATTCTCCAATTAATCAAAAAGGTTTTTTTCAAAAAAAAAAAGTTTACACTATATTAGGCAGGGGGAAGGGGGAATGGCTCCTCTTATTTGACAATGGATGCAACACTAATGTAACTTTTGACCGAGTTAGATATATTTTTTACTTCTTTGTTGTTGCACTTTAAATACCCAATCAGATATTTCATAATTAAAATTTTT